TTCAGCAATCCAACTATGCTTGTCCAAGGAGGTTCTTCGTGAAGTAGCAAATGAAACAACCGCTGCTGCTTTGTGGCTGAAATTGGAATCTCTTTATATGACCAAAAGTCTCGCAAACAAGCTTCGTCTCAAAGAAAGACTATATACGATTCGTATGGTCGAAGGTACTCCTATTCAATCTCATCTTAATGAGTTTAATTCTATTATCATGGATTTGGAAAATATTGAAATTAAAATTGATGATGAAGATAAAGCTGTTTTGTTGATTGTCTCATTACCTTCTACCTATAAACACTTTAAAGAAATTATGTTGTATAGCAACAATGATACCTTATCCTTTGAAGATGTTAAATCTAATTTGTTGTCCAAAGAAAAGTTTGATCTTGATATCCACTCTGAGGACAAGGGTGAGGGTTTAAGTGTCAGGGGTAGAACTCAAGAAAAAGGGAGTACCAGTAACAAGAAAAGTAGATCCAAATCCAGAGGGCGTAAATCCAACAAAACCTGTCGTTATTGCAAGAAATTTGGGCATGATATCTCCGACTGCTTTATCTTGAAAAAGAAACAAGAAAGGCAAGAAAAAGGTAAAAATCCTGCTGAAGCTGCTAATGTTGAAACTGATTCTGATGGTGATGTTATGATATCTGTCTCTTCTGATAAGAGGAGCAAAACTGAATGGATTCTTGATTCTGGATGTACATTTCATATGTGTCCTTATAAGGACTTATTCACCACTCTTGAACCTGTTGATAGTGGTGTTGTCTTGATGGGTAATGACACCCAATGCAAGATTGCAGGAATAGGTACTATTCAGATCAAGACTCATGATGGCACTATCAAGACTCTTTCCAATGTTCGCTTTATTCCTGACTTGAAGCGAAATCTAATTTCTCTTGGCACCCTAGAGTCTCTTGGGTGCAAGTATTCAGCTGAAGGTGGAGTTCTAAAGGTATCAAAAGGTGCTATTGTTTTATTAAAAGCTAACCGTATTGGTAGTTTGTATATCTTGCAAGGATCTATAGTGACAGGATCAGCAGCTGTCTCATCTTCTATGTCTGATAAAGATGCCACCAAATTATGGCACATGCGCCTGGGCCATATGAGTGAAAAAGGCATGCACCTTCTGAGCAAGCAAGGTCTCCTTGGTAATCAAGGCATCGGTAAGTTGGAGTTTTGTGAACATTGTGTCTTTGGGAAGCAGAAAAGAGTTAGCTTCTCCACTGCAACTCACCGCACAAAAGGTACCCTTGATTACATTCATTCTGATCTTTGGGGTCCTTCTAAAGTTCCATCTTATGGAGGATGCCGTTATATGATGACTATTATTGATGATTTTTCTCGTAAAGTCTGGGTCTATTTTCTAAGGCACAAAAATGAAACATTCCCCACTTTTAAGAAGTGGAAAACTCTTGTTGAAACTCAGACAGGAAAGAAAGTCAAGAAGCTCAGAACGGATAATGGATTGGAGTTCTGTGAAGGTGACTTTAATGAGTTCTGCGCAAATCATGGTATTGCTAGACACAAAACCATTCCAGGTAAACCCCAGCAGAATGGTGTTGCAGAACGTTTAAACAGAACTATCCTTGAGAGAGCTCGTTGTATGCTCTCAAATGCTGGGTTATGGCATCAACGTGAGTTGTGGGTCGAGGCAGCATCTACAGCTTGCTACTTGATCAACCGATCTCCACACTCTTCACTTAATTTCAAGATTCCAGAAGAAATTTGGTCAGGTAATCCTATTGATTATTCTAATTTAAGAATTTTTGGATGTCCTGCATATGCACATGTTAATGATGGAAAATTAGCTCCTAGAGCTATTAAGTGCATATTTCTTGGTTATGCATCTGAATCTAAAGGTTATCGTTTATGGTGTTCTGAGTCTAAGTCACGAAGATTAATTCTTAGTAGAGATGTGACTTTTAATGAGGATGCATTATTATCTTCTGGAAAACAATCATCTGTGTCTTCTTCCAGTACTAATAATCTGCAAGGTACTAGCGAGAAGGTGGAGTTAGAGTTAAAATCTGTAGCTCCTAATGTTGATGTTCCATCTTCCTCTACCACTGAGTCTAGCATTGATGATCATGGTGATGATCATCCTATTCAGCAACAGGAAGAATATAATATTGCACGAGATAGGACAAGAAGACAGATAAAATTGCCAGCTAGATACACTGATGACAATTTGACTGCTTATGCATTGTCAATTGCACAAGAGGTAAATGATGATGTTGAACCTGCCAGCTATAGTGAAGCTGTTTCTTGTGTTGATTCTGCTAAGTGGCTAGTGGCTATGAATGAAGAAATTGAAAGTCTTCACAAGAACAACACTTGGAATTTGACAAAGCTCCCCAAAGGCAAACGACCTCTAAGGTGTAAATGGATCTATAAGAAGAAAGATGGCATTCCAGGGGTTGAAGATCCTAGATGCAAGGCGCGATTAGTCGTTAAAGGCTTTTATCAAAAGGAAGGTATTGACTTTAATGAGATTTTCTCACCTGTTGTTCGTCATACTTCCATTCGTATTTTGCTTGCTTTTGTTGCTCTGTTTGATTTAGAATTAGAGCAACTTGATGTAAAGACAGCTTTTCTACATGGAGAGCTGGAAGAAGAAATTTATATGGATCAGCCTGAGGGATTTGTTGTTCCTAGTAAGGAGCATCTTGTTTGTCAATTAAAGAAATCTTTATATGGCCTCAAGCAAGCACCCAGACAATGGTATAAAAAATTTGATTCCTTTATGATTGGGCAAGGTTATTCCAGGAGTAAATATGATGATTGTATTTATTTTCAACAATTTCCTGATGGAACTTTCATATACTTGTTACTTTATGTTGATGATATGTTGATTGCATCACGTGACAAGTCTTTGATCAGCAAATTGAAAGCTCAACTCAATAATGAGTTTGAGATGAAGGAATTAGGTGCAGCTAAGAAAATTCTTGGCATGGAGATTCATAGAGATCGACAAGTTGGTAAATTATTCTTATCTCAACAAAAATATATTGAGAGATTACTTGACAGATTTAATATGAATAATTGTAAACCTGTTTCTACTCCACTTGCTGCACATTTCAAGTTATCTTCAGACCTTTGCCCACAAACAAAAGAAGAGATGGAGCGTATGTCACACGTTCCATATGCTAGTGCAGTTGGCAGTTTAATGTATGCTATGGTGTGCACTAGACCTGATTTAGCATATGCTGTTAGCATGGTGAGCCGATACATGCATAATCCTGGAAAGGATCACTGGAGTGCTGTAAAATGGATTTTTCGGTATCTTAAAGGTACTAGTAATATTGGCTTGGTGTTTGACAGAAACAAAGCTACAACTAATAATGTTGCAGGTTTTGTTGATTCGGATTATGGTGGTGATCTTGATAGAAGAAGATCTCTTTCTGGCTACATTTTTACTCTCTGTAATTCTGCTATCAGTTGGAAAGCTTCACTTCAATCTATTGCAGCATTATCTACAACAGAAGCAGAATATGTTTCAGCAACAGAGGGTGTGAAAGAGGCTCTCTGGATCCGAGGTTTGGTCAAAGAACTTGGTCTCACACAAGATGTTCTTACTGTATTTTGTGATAGTCAGAGTGCCATTCATTTGACTAAGAATAGTCGTTACCACGACAAGACCAAACACATAGATGTTAAACATCACTTTATCCGAGATATTGTTACTATTGGTGAAGTTCTACTACAAAAGGTACATACATCTGAGAATCCAGCAGATATGCTTACTAAGCCACTTCCGAATGCCAAGTTTCAGCATTGTTTGGGCTTGGTTGGTCTCTACAACAAATGATTGCCCCTCTGGGGCTTTATCTGGCGATGAGCAACTTATTAAATTTGAGCCAAGGTGGAGATTGTAAAGTTATGGCACAAATTTCTTCCATATTTCCTGTTTTAAGGAAAACACGTTTCCTTGATTTTAGGCCATGATTCCATGCATGGTTTCCTCTTTTTTGCTCCTTGTTTTGTTCCAGGTTTCCTTATTCTGGGTGCATACGCTTCTTCTCAATGCCTATATAAGGCATCAAGCATTTGGAGCAAATTGCAATTGATTCAGCAATCTACACACTTGAGAAAAATCATACATAGAGAGGAAAGATTCAAGAGAGTATTTTTAGTCTATATTTGAGAGATTATCTCTTTGTTCTCATGATATTAGAGAACTTCTTGTACTCTCCTATTTCTACATAGTGGAATTATCTTGCTCTTGATCGCCCGTGGTTTTTTCTCCGTCTTTGGAGTTTCCACGTAAACTTGGTGTGTATTTATTTTTCTTGTCTCTCTACTTACTTCTCTCTATCTCTAATTAACTTGATCCGGTGCTTCCGCATTCCGCTCATTCTTTCTGATACCCAACAGTATAGAATTTGTCGACCTATACTCAAAATCATTACCTTCTATGTGCTTTATTTGTCGACCACCGAAAGAGCATAGTTAGTGTATGTGTATCTTATGTCCCTTCTGGTATATTTTCCTTCGAGAAGATAAATCGAGGCAAAACACTAGGAAATAATGTTTTCACACTTCAGGTTCTGCATATCACACATCTTCAAAATGAGCAACATATATAAATCCGACAAGTCTCCTTAGTTTTATTTTATGTATTTATTAGCGAAGAAAATTTGGATGTGATGTTGTAAGAAGCGCATAAGGTCGTGTTTGAGATGGAAAGAAATTTCAGAAAAGGAAAAAATAAATTACCATACTGCCAATAGTTTGAATACTTGAGAATCCTAAATGATGATAGTGATGAGTGATTTTATTTTATTTCTCTGGTTATAACTGCTGTTAACAAATTTCTCGACAGACCCTTTTTCCAAGAATTAAACAAAAGATATATTTTGTGTTCCAACTTACTTGGACTTAAATTTGAGTCAAGCCATTATTCAATCTATCAAACTTACGTACCATTTCCTTCTCTTCCGGCATGAAATTAAGAAAATCTACTCAAACATGAACTTGAGTCAAGCCAATCTTAAACATGGAAACAAAATAAAAGGAAACATACATTTGTTATTGTGTTGAAACTTGAAACATACAATGCTATATAACACAAGGGTACACATCCTTTGGGAACTTAATCTTAAATGTTTTTGTATGCTAAATAACTAGGGTATCTTTCCTTCTCATTCCAGCATCGGATTCATCTACTCCCCTGCCAGGAACAGATTGTTGATTCGATCTGCTACGTCAAACATTCCATACTTGATGTGCTCATAAGCGTACTTTCCAAAAAAATCCTGAAACCTCCCAATGAAGTTTCCATATGTTGGCAACAAGATGTTTTCTATGGATTTTATTATTTTTTCTCTTAACTGCTCATCAAAGACAAACCATGTAGACTGAACATTGCATATCTCATCAAAGTATTTGTTGAAGGAACGGAGCTTGTCTTTCATTAACCCAACTGCAACATCAGGCTCTGACTCATTATTAATGTCCATCTTCAACAAGTCCACAATCTTATTCCATGAGCTTTTCTGATACAGTTCGAGGTTTTGTTGGAATTTTATTGTGTTTTTTCGGAGCCATTCGTGGCCAAAAATTGGTACCAATCCATACAAGTTTGCCTCTCGTTCTATGTATCTAAGATTGTTCATGACGAAAACATAACCCAGAGCATGGTTATTGTAATTTTTGGAGTCCGCTTCCAAAATTCTCTCTAACAACTCTGTTATTATTATCCTGGCCACATGCACCGGCGGTGAAAGCTTCCTCTCTTTATCAATCATGGTGTATTTTTCTAAACCTTGCCTAAATCTACTTTCCCTTCTTATGCAAACACCACAAATTTTTTGCATCAGTTCACGTATATTCGGATGAAGCTGGCCGTCCTTACAATATGCAAAACTTCTACACTCAAGAAAAGTTGCCAAGTGGTTGGCAATGCGCAGTAGACTAATTGTCAATTCCCTAGAAACCTCCCTGATAGCAATATCTGCATAGGAAGAGGCCCCCTTAAAGACGCGATCACAGAGTCTCCTTTCATTGGGAAAGAGTATCCTCACTAGTGCGTTCAAAGATTTTATCTTCATCATATCAATTTCCTTTCTTTTGAGCTCTTGCACTTGCAATCC